CAATTGTGACCTTGACCTTGAGCTGGCACATGGGCAACATGGGATCTGCAAATCCTCTTGTTAAGGTGAACATTTGAGCCAAGTTTGAAGTAAATCTTTCAAGTAGTGTAGGACTTACAGAGCGGAACATGACATACTGTGTAAAATTTAATTGTTTGATATTGACCTTCAATTGTGACCTTGACCTTGAGCTGACACATGGGCGACATGGTTCTGCACATCCCCTGGTTGAGGTGAACATTTGAGCCAAGTTTGAAGAAAATCTTTCAAGTAGTGTAGGACTTACAGAGCGGACATGACATACTGTGTAATATTAGATTGTTTGATATTGACCTTCAATTGTGACCATGACCTTGAACTGACACATGGGCAACATGGATTCTGCACATCCCCTTGTTTGAAGTGAACATTTGAGCCAAATTTGAAGAAAATCTTTCAATCAGTGTAGGACTTACAGAGCGGACACAACATACTGTGTAATATTTGATTGTTTGATATTTGACCTTCAATTGTGACCTTGACCTTGAGCTGGCACATGGGCCACATGGGTTTCTGCACATCCTCTTGTTGAGGTGAACATTTGAGCCAAGTTTGAAGAAAATCTTTCAAGTAGTGTAGGACTTACAGAGCGGACACGACATACTATGTAATATTTGATTGTTTGATATTTGACCTTCAATTGTGACCTTGACCTTGAGCTGACAACATGGGCGACATGGGTTCTGCACATCCCCTGGTTGAGGTGAACATTTGAGCCAAGTTTGAAGAAAATCTTTCAACTAGCTGTAAGACTTACAGAGCGGACACGACATACTGTGTAATATTTGATAGTGTTTGATATTTGACCTTCAATTGTGACCTTGACCTTGAACTGACACATGAGCAATATGGGTTCTGCACATCCCCTTGTTGAGATGAACATTTGAGCCAAGTTTGAAGAAAATCCTTCAATTGGTATAGGAGTTATAGAGCGGACACGAAAATGGAGACGGACCGACCGACGGACGGACCGACCGACCGACCGACCGACCGACGCGACAAAGCGAATCCATTATAGCCCCCCCCACATTTTGTGGTGGGGGTATAATAAACTGTTTCTTGGAGAAAATGTACAGAAAATATCCCAAACTGTACATAAGATTTATGAACAAGTTGTCAAATACATAATGAACACTAGTTATTGCATGACTAGAAATATATGCACTTTTAAAATACACTTAAAAAGAGGTGTCAGTTGGACAACAAGTCAAGCTCGTGGTCTGATACAGTAAAAAAAGCATTGTTAAAAATGTCCATGTTGAATAGTGGGAAATAATTTGGTAATTGAGCAGTGACCTACAATAATGATCCTATGTAAGTTGTGTAATGTTCCCAAACGCCCCAGGAGTAGAACGAGCACTTTTGCTTCCAAAAAGTAGCTAAAAATAATACAGGTACTACCTTTAGGCTGTCATTCCATAGCGTAAAATCAATGTACTAAATGATTTCATAATAACATTTTTTTTGTTGAATATTAAACAAAAACATGAAGTACCAACAAATATATACCCAATCTATGTATATCGCAATATCATTTTGTCATATATATAGAAAATTAACGCTGAGCCTGCCTAAAGTGACTTGCCTTCACCAACAGTATAGAGCCAGGTCAACCTGCACATCCGTGCAGTCCGAGTAGACTCTATACTGTTGACTGACCAACTTCAAATTTTCAAAATTGATAATGGATATTTTCAAAAATAAAGTTGGACAGGTCAATTAAAATAATTCAGCAGGTAAATAATTAAAATCGTGACCTAACCATGACCTAACAAAAATGCTCAACGACACACGAAGAACATTGATTGAGACACCTTTACGGTGCTTTCTAGATTCAAAGTCTCCCCTGTTCAACATATAATATTCAAGTGAATGTTTATCACATTAGAAAGTATATGTACATTGTAAATAATAATAAAATAAATTTGTATCAAATGATCCCCTTTCATCATACATAAACTAATAACTTATAAAATGTGGATTTGTGTCAGAAATATAGTAGTTTGCATTTGAATATATAAATATGCTGGTTTGGAATTTCTATTCTGGCAAATTGTTTCACAATACAAGGTATTGTGTTGTACATTTGTATTAACTTTAACTAGTATCCAGTGAACAAATAGTAAGTAGTAGCAATCGATGCTTTCTTCCAAAATTGGCATGCATTTCTGGCGAATTTAGTAATAGCTAATTTTTGTATAGTTTCCTCTATTGACAACTGTATTAAGGTATTTATTGAAGTTGTTGCTATCTAACAAAATTATGAAAATAATAATCCATGTAATTATTTCAGCTCAAATTAGAAAGACCTATTATGTTTGTAATGATAAAAACTTTTAGAATCAAACTTTAAGCAGAATGCCTCCAGTTTCCTGTTGATTTTCATGTAAAAATACAAATTATGAAAACGTTGTCAAGTTAAAAAGTAATTTCAGCTAGAATAAGGCACTTACAATGCATATTCATTACCTGAAATGTCAAATTATTTAAATTATAGCCCCTAACTCTGTTTCTATCAGGGAAGAAATAAAAGTGATTATAAAATTGACAATAATAAGCTCAAACATATCTTGCATAAAGCATGTAAAGTATTACATAGATTATAAACATCCATGTTTTTCCTTTAGCTCTTTATACATTTATCATACGTTGTTTTTAACTTGACAAAAATCGCAAATCTGGAGGCATAATGCTTAGAATAAAATAATTCAAAACCGAACCTTAATCATCAAAGATTTTTAAGTTAGTTAAGCCTTAATATTTTATTTTTACAATAAAACAATGAAAAAGCACATGTAAAACATTGAAATTTAATTTAAATTACTATAAACAATTTTCGGATTCTTGGGTTACAAACATTCAGCTCATACTTGGTAAAAGTAGTTGCAATGAATCTACACCCAATGGGCCGGAAAATAAATGGGGAAATCAAATGCCTATACAATACAAACAAATTATGCAAAATATTATCAGACTACAAAAACATTTCCAAATTTCTCAGGTATTAAAGCTTGGGTTTCAATTTTTGAACGGAGTTTAAAGAAAGTTAAAATTTTCTAAGCTCCCAGAAAAGCTCGGCAAGATGATACGTCAACGTTTACAGAAATCTAATCCGGGTTTGTTACCACAATTAATGGGGGACTTAAAATTTTTAAACTTTTATAAAACAAAGAATTTTCTTTTAAACAAGGAGGAGTTCGTGCTAGATTTTGCAACTAAAGGATAAACATTTGTAACTTTTTTTGGTGCAACAACATCTTTGGGGGGAAAATTTAAAATGGATGGATATTCGGGTTTTCTGCATTGGCATCCCGCGGCCCCCGGGCCCCTTTTGAATCTTTTTGTTGAATTTTAAAACGGGGTCGGGAAAAACATTCTGTTTAAAACCACTGTGGCCAAAATGTTTGGATGAAAAAATACTCAAATTTTAAGGGATTTCCCCCCAAAATTTTTGTAATAGGTTTGAAGTTATGGGAAAAATGATTTTTTGGGTATTTCCCTGGGGGCTGGAACCCAAAATTTTGGCTTAAATAAATAAAATAAACATTATAAAAAGGATTATTTTTTTTAAGGAAATATTCAATTTATTAAGTTGAAGAATGTCGGGATGGTCAAGTTCAAATTATTTAACTGCATCTTATAGATACACCAATGTATTCAGTCTGACAGAATATCATATTATTATCAACTTTCTGGATTGTTTTTATATCTGTTATCCGTGCAGGTATAAAACAAGCAAACTGCACCTAATATGACAAAAAAAGTGAAAAAATATTCTAGATTGGAAATATGAATTTACATCACCAAGCCTTTGTTTTAAATACATTGAATTATTCATTAACCATTATATGGTGTTATAAAAATGACAAATTGATCTTATCCACATGAAATAGACTTGAACAACAACAACTTTTTAAAAAAAAAAACATGCAAGTTTGCTAATAGTGGGGTTTCTATTAAAATAATTAATATCCATTAACGTGTTCGGAAATTCATCGGGTTATGTATTGGTATAAAAATATTGATATTTCTCGGTTGATCATTTCTGCCCCGTCAGTTAATACATTATTTCATTATTTAATTATTTCATTATTACATTATTATATAAATAAATGAAAACGCCATTAAATACACAAAAGTAATTCATAGTTTTTAAATCAAGTGATAAAGGCTCTTATTCATCTAAACAAAACTTCTTGAACATGTTTCATAATGATTAAGTGAAAAGTCTATTAAATGTTAAGTTAGATCATATGTTACTTTGTTGAAATCACCAAGATATTTGCAAAAATGTAAACATCTTGCAAATAAAGGTTCTAAAACGGTTGGGTACACCATTAGAGGCAACGACCAATTCGGAAACATTAAAATATACCAACCTCTTCCTAGCATCTTCTTCTTTCTTAGGAGGAGTTGCAACAGTAGGTAATCGTTGGGAATGGAATATTTAATGGAAACACTTTTCTGAACATTTTTGATGTCTTTCACTTCCACCATTAGAAGTCCTTGATTTCAATGATAAATCTTGTGGTGCATCACAAGGTTCAGTTTTTTGACCAGGTCTATTTTCACTGTTTAAAACTAGTATTAAATAACAAAGATTTCCTCTTTGATGCCTCGCTTCTTGCGCTCTTAACGTTTTCATACTCAAGTCCAACACTGGCATTTCAAATTCATTTGTTTTAGACGGGTACAGTTTTTCCTGAGATCCATGCACCTTTTGTCTTTTGAGATCTATATCGTTGACTGGTTCAGGTTTCACATCTCTCGCACTATAGTTAGAGGAATATGAGGGATGATTTCGATTTGTGTCTGGATATGGGTATTGCCGTTTATTGTTGTGAGAATGAGCAGGAGTGATAGGTCGATTAACTTGAGAACCAGTTTGTGGCGATATTAATGAACTTTTCGAACTTTGATTGGTACTATGCGCAGATGGAGGCGTGATATGTGGTGGTGTGTTATTTTTAACCGAGTGCGATGCTATTGCATTTTTTATTATTACTTGGTCCGGCACTTTGCTCTGAGACAAGTTTATTTTAATGCATTAAGTGGTTTCTCGTCCTTTACACCATGAGGACCACCAAAAGTTTGCATTGTTTGCATCTGATTAGGGACAGGCTGGAAACCAAACTGTGGCCCACCAATCATAAATGGCATTCCAATAGGTGTCATATTTCTAATTGCTCCACCAACCGGAATTAACTGTGGATAAAACATTGGGCGTTGTGCATTCATGTTAGGCAGAATAGATTGTTGAGACACAAATTTTGTGTCATTTTGTGAAGTAGGGGCGTGTAAAACTTTAGGTACGTTTGGAATACCAGATTCCCTTTTATCTAATTTCTCACTCTTCTTTCCATCTTCCTTTTCTCTTAGATGTTGATGTTTATGATCTGTATGCTTCTCAGAACCAGCTCCATCGAAAGTTTCAGCTGACTCCTGGCCATTTTGATGTAGCAGTTCTCGTACAGTTTTCTGGCCACCAGATGGTCTTCGTCCCTATAAATATATATATAAAAGTCCAACGTGGCTATCAGCATATCAATACACATAGAATTTATATATTTTTATGTTACTGCGATTTAAAAATGGTGTAAAATTTTACATATATTAAATAATAATATTAAAGTTTTGTCAATATACATGTATATACATGTGTCTATTACAACTTTACAACAATAGTAGTGTTTCAATTTCATCAATACAAATATTAAACTAAAAGACAACACATTCACATGTTCTTAGACAAAAGAGGATTTATATGAAGGACAGATGTGCCATGATTAGAGCAAAGTTAATGATATGAAATCAATTAATAGTGCATATATGATATACATGTATGTTATATTATAAACGTTTGTCGTCAATAACTAGGAAAGTAGATAAGAAATGTAAAATGCATTTTTTCTGCTACGAATACAGAATAAATCCACGGCTAACTTTTCCATTAGCCATTTAACTGTTTGCTGAAATCACAATAATTGGCTACATAAATTTTAATTTGGCTACATGATTACCAATGGTATCTCACTTTGATAGAGTTTTACACTAAAACAGAAAATCATGCAATTTGGCCAAATGAAATTTTCAACAAGGGTAAGCCCTGAAAATTATTATACTGATTTCAACAGCAAAGTCTGAGCACAGCAGGTTTTAGTAAATTTATTTAAAAGCCAACCAGCATGTGTAAACCATGAAATTTTCTGCCAACATTGTTTACGGTTATAGCCTGATGAATCACGGGTATGAAGGTTTAAAAAATTCTAAGTTCACTGAAGCTAATAGTTAAAAAATCCAAATATTTTTTTTTCTCACAGATTAAATTTAAAGGACCTATACTGTATGTTTTCAGTTTTTTATTAATATTGAATATATTACTACGCAATAAATCAAAATACACAGGGTTGGGGAGATTTTTGAAACTTTTCTTTTAAATTTAAAAACAAATGCGACTTAAACTAAAATTAAAAGAATTTCCCAAAATATTCAAAAGCTATCACCCTACAAATTTTTATCTAAACAAATTTCAAGGGACATTATATAATGATAAAGCCTTAAAAAGGGGATATAATGGGGGGTGAGAAAAGGGAAATTTCAGAAAAAATTTTAAAGATATTACCCCCTAACAAATTTTAATTTTTGGATATTTTAAAAATTTAATCTATAATCACTTCATCCTATTTTTGGCGTAGGATCCTTAAAACAAAATTAAAATTCATTTGAAAGTTGTACAAACATAAAGAAGGGATCTATTGAGGGAAATAAAACAAAAATAATCAATGAAAAATGCTTGTTTTTAGTATATCTAAAAAAAGGATGAAGTTTAACAGCTTAACCCCCTAGCATCAGCTCATAAAGTAATATATCTTCAACATTTAAGATTTATGAAGTAATTACATGTATCCTGAAGGACAGAAGAATATTGAAAGACAGCTATATAGAGATGCAATACTTCATTATACAATAAATAAAGCTGACATAAATAAAACCTTTGTATTTCTTTTGTTAATATTTTAGCAATTAAAACAGAAATAAGAATATGCAATTTTAGTGTAAATGAATTCATTATATGATATTTCTAACATCATTGAAAATGTTCCCATGGCTTGGCATACAAGAACAAAAAAATAATGCAAAGCACAAATGAATAAAGCAGTGTACATGTATGTCCTCACAGAGCAGTTTATCATGATGTTTTCTTTATCTTTGGGAGAAAAAAGCTTGCATAAGAAAACAAAAGAACGTATTGTTGAGAATACCTTCAGAAGTCTTACTAACTAAATATCAATGTGAGTGGTTAAATGACTTGTCTACGACACTAACAATAAAATCAGGTCAGTCTACCAAACATTGCAATCTGAACAGACCATTCATTTTGGGAGCTCACTGTTTGCTATCTGATAATAATATCCTTATATACAAATATTATTAAAAAGAAAGGAAATAGTTCATAATACAAATTTTACAAATTTTGCAGTCTTAGGGCTAAGAAAACAAAGGAAAGGCATAATTTAAGCAATGCAAAGAGAGATATGTATGGATGACAGATGTATGAATACGTTTACATAAACAAAGCAATAAGCAGTTATCATTGTTACCATGGCAACATGATGTGTTGCCATGGATCATGTTGCCATGGTGTAACAGCATTTGCAATCACCACAAGGATACCATGAGTGCATGGCTCACCTTTTCTGTCCATCTTTGTTTCTTAATCTCCTCACATGATTTCTTTTTTTCCAACGAGCCAGTTACTTTTGTATTTGTTTTATTCATGATTGAGGTGCCGTGTTTACGAGCATCCTTAAAAGTATGGAATATCAGTAAATTACTTTTCATTAGAATTAAATTCATTAACTTTCAAATAAAATATTTATTATTTCTTCTTTGACTCTAAATTTTCAAATTAAAATACAACATCCTTTATCAAAATTATCATTGGTCTAATTCTGTTTCATAAATATCAATTAACATTATTTATTATTATCATTATTTTCACAATACATTATTCTACCACTCCAATTTGAGAGCTATCAAAGTAAGATTGTTACTTATATCATCTTTTACAAGAAAGAGTTATAGATTTGTGAATATTTTGAAACTTGTTTGTTAGTACTGATTTCAATTCTCAACCTTAAAAAATATATCATTTTCGAAACTCACAAATTTAAAATGTTGCACTTTAGATAATACCTTTCTCATTTTCATTTCCTCTATTTCTTGTTTAATGATAAGTGCTTTATCTTTAATTTCGGCTCTCTCTTTGTTAACACTCTCTGCCTTACCATTCTCTAATGGTTTTGTGTCTGATTTTACTTTGACCTCAGTCTTTACCTAAACATTAATGAAATTACCATTGTGTTTAAAGTTGGAACTTATTCTACTTAAATTTGATAATATTATTTCATTGTTTTATTTTAAGCAAAAGAAAAAATCCACATAAAATAACTATAATTACAAGGCAGTTTTATTTTCAGAAATAGCTTGAATGAGCTATAGTATATCTAGAATATATCTTAAAATATACCAGAGGGTAATGGTAGTCTTTCGTCTCTTACTACAATAGTTTATACATTTATTCCTGATTTAAAGTTATTTAAGGGAATATTTTGTTGTTTAAAATATAAAGCTCCTGACAATTTAAGTGATATCATGCTTGACAAAAAAAACAACAAATTAAAGTTTGCCTTACATAAGATATTGTGTTGAATTATCTACTATTAACACAACAAAAAATTGCTTATATTATAACTGGATACTCTTCTTTATAAGACTAGGTGTATCATTATCTTTAGAGATATATTCAAACATTAGTTCTTGCCTATAACAATATTTTCAATTGTCGCAATGCACTGTCTGGTATTGTAACAATTCAAAATCAATGCATTAAAAATACTTTCTCTGGATTGGAAACAAGATTTTCATATTTTGTCGCCATTAAAATATATACTTATTATATAATATCAAAGAAGACTAAAAAGGTTACCTTGATTTCACCTTTGACCTTCACATCCATGCCGTCATTTTGTTTATTGGCCTTGACCTTCTCTGATAACAGTAAGTGATTTTCTAATTTCAACTTTTTCTTCTTATTCTGTATTGGCTTAAACTCTCTTCCATTCCTGTATCGTTCAAATGGTAGTAGTAGCCTGAAAAAAAATCAGGAAAAATTGAAACTATTGACTGACCTTAATCAAAAACTAGAAATGTGTCCATAGGACACGGGTGCCCCCACCGCGCCACTGTTCTGTCAATCTTTTTACTAATTCAAGGGAAATAACTCTACATGGATAAATCCACAAGCAAAACCCCAGGTGCAAATCTAAAATATGCTGAGCAACCTGCCCATAAGGTTAATGACTATGTCAAATCCTTTTTGAGAAACTTGCGATACAAGTTGAAAATTGCAAAAATTTAAGTAAAGGGCAATAACTCTAAAAATAGTAAATAAATCCAGACGAAAATACCTGGTGCACAACTGCACATGCTGATCAACATTCCTGTAAAGTTTCATGACTGTAGGTCAAATACTTTTTGAGTTACGTGCGACACAAGTTGAAAATTGCAAAATTTTACTAAGTTAAGGGCAATAACTCTGAAAATACTAAGAATATCCACACTAAAATACCCAGGTGCACAACTACACATGCTGATCAACATTCCTGTAAAGTTTCATGACTGTAGGTCAAATACTTTTTGAGTTACTTGTGACACAAGTTGAAAATTGCAAAATTTTACTAAGTCAAGGGCAATAACTCTGAAAATACTAATAATATTCACAATAAAATACCCAGGTGCACAACTACACATGCTGATCAACATTCCTGTAAAGTTTCATGACTCTAGGTCAAATACTTTTTGAGTTATGTGCGACACAAGTTGAAAATTGCAAAATTTTACTAAGTCAAGGGCAATAACTCTGAAAATACTAAAAATATCCAGACGAAAATACCCAGGTGCACAACTACACATGCTGATCAACATTCCTGTAAAGTTTCATGACTCTAGGTCAAATACTTTTTGAGTTACATGCGACACAAGTTGAAAATTGCAAAATTTAACTAAGTCAAGGGCAATAACTCTGAAAATACTAAAAATATCCAGACGAAAATACCCAGGTGCACAACTACGCATGCTGATCAACATTCCTGTAAGGTTTCATGACTCTAGGTCAAATACTTTTTGACGGAAGGACGGACGGACAAGGGTAAATCTAAATGCCCGCCACTAACGTGGGGGCACAATAAGGCTTTCAAAAGGCCATAATATAACAGGTGTATACAGGGGTCATTATAGCTTTCCATCCATGAATAAGTTTCTGTAATTTTAGCAAAGTTTTTGAGTTTCGATTACTAACTTAGAAAGCACTGTTTGGGCATGTTTCATTAGGTCTAATAAATGAAGCTTGATTCTTAATGACATAGGAATAGTAAAAAATTTAAAAGTCTTATGATGGCTGTATAACCTAAACAAACATGAGTTTAAGATGATTTGTAAAAAAGTCACTTAAAACCATCATGAAAAGCAATCACATTCAAAGAATTACTATTTTTAATATTATATAATATCTATTGATATCAAAAATTAAGAATTTTACTTGCAAATTTTTTTTATCCATTTGGATTGTAAAATTTTTCAAAATTAGACACTTAAATATATATGAGCCACTTCATGACAAAACCAACATAGTGTGTTTACAAGCAGCATGGATCCAGACCAGCCTGCGCATCCGCGCAGTCTGATCAGGATCCATGCTGTTCGCTATCAGTTTCTCTACTTGCTATATGGTTTGTAAGCTTTTAAAAACACATAGTTATGTTGTTTTTTTTCTTCTGGCATTTTGCCTCAATAATTTATCTATTCTCCTCAACAAGTAATGGTAATTATTTTATCAAACTTACTCAAATGGGAATAGAATGATTATTTCAATTAAAGAGTATCAAACTACTTTTACAGGTGTTAGTTAGAGGGCTGCAATCCTTTACTGTATGTTGTCTTATCACACTATAAGTTAAGACATGCTAAAATATTTTATTGGAAAGTTAGACAAGAGGTCCTTGACAATTTGATGCCATAATTCCTATTGTTCATATATCCGTACCAGTATAAGGGAGACACCATCATATGTAACATAATTCTAGCCCTTAGAATATACCAGTGAAAATAGTAACCCTCATGCAGTCTGGCAATATTTTATTGCATAGACTCTTTATTATGGATTTAATTAACTCACTACTGTAAAGTTTTAGCAGTTTCTTGAGAAGCTTGACAGAATCACAAATAGAAATCACTTTTTTCTGATGATTCTAACATTTTTCATTCATAATCATATAAAAAAAAAGGTGTGAGGAGAAAAATTAGCGGTATATAATTATTTCTTGTCTGAAAATATGGTATATAGTATGTTGCTCTAACACTTTTTTTGTCTCACTCCTTTATAATATCCTTTCTAACGCTGATCCCTGAAATTTATAATGGACAGTCCCAATTTTAAGCAGGGTAAGTCCATTTCATAAATACAGCAGGAAAATGACTAAAATAATACTGAACGATTATTTTTCTTTCTTTAAATTTCGTTTTAAGTTTCTTTTTTATCAATATAATTGCAATAGTAGCACACTAAAAATGAAAACTAACTTTTTTTTGAATTACCTCCCTTTAATGAACCTGAATTTTCACATTTATAAGAGCATAAATTTAATGATCTTTCTGACCTTTAACAATCCTAAGAAATGTGACATGTATAGTAGTGATTGTGTTCTCGAATAAAAGTAAAAAGGGCGGAGCTGCAAGCGACTGTAGTTCTATTACAAGAAATCCATGCCTTAACCGGCTTAGTGCTCGCCCTGGTTTAAATAAAGTCCAGTTATATAAATCTGTTTATTAAGATTTGTACCTAAAAATTTTTGAATAATACTCTCCTTGATGTTAAAAAATGGCGACACTAAATTTATTGTTAATGATTTACTACATATTCTATAACATCTTCATGGATTGCAAATAAATATGAAATCTTAGTGTAAATGAGGCAGCATGATGATAGTATTTTCATTCCAGGGCAATCATTTTAACAAAAGGTTGTTATTTACTACCAAAAATCATGCGATAAATTTTCTTACCTGTGGCAACATTTTGTAAAGCATCTAACTATCTACATGTTGAGCCCCTACCATTCTAGTGCTGATAATGAACTTTGACCCCTGTATAGAGCCAGGTCAGCATGCATTTCCATGCAGATTGATCAAACTCTATTGGCATATAAATAATGTAATTTAGGTATCACCCCCCCCCCACTCATTGACAATGGTCAGTTCCAAATTCAAAGCTGGGCAAGTTCATTATAGAAATTTAGAGTGGTTAGGGTTCAACACTACACAATACATTTAAAGCAATTCATATATACAGGTATATAAGTATATAATAATGTATATTTTTATGTCTATAGGAATATTGTACATAACCAATCTTCATGATTCACAATACGGACCCAGAACCTTGAATTCATTGTAAAAGCAACAAAAATATTGTAAACTCTTCTATATTAAAGTACATGCCAATGATTTACACCTGATAAATATAACCCAACCCCTTGAATAATGACATCTATAAAAGCCAGACCTTTAGTACCAGTATAAATCTGTAAAGTTGGGCCAATGATAATACTGTTGCCTGCTTAATTAATACTTAATTAATACTTAAATAATAAATACTGACATCCCTTAAAGAGACTCCACTGACATTTTTTTGACATGATGGGACTTAAAAATATTTTTTCCAGATAAATGTACCATTTGATGCAGATTTAGGCCACTTATCTTTGTGCAAAATTTCAGATCATTCGCGCACTTCGTTTTTCTAGAATAATTATTAAAATTTAAAAAAAAATGACCCAAAATGAGAAGAGTTTAAACACTTTTCTCTCAAATAAAGCATAAAATTACAATTTTCAATTTATTTCAAAGAATATTTCTTATCTATCTTTGCATATATTTCTTTTTAAAGTGCCTCAGCTCATTTATGTAAGAAATTCAAATGTTATGTTTTAAGGCTTTTAAACCTCAGTGGAGTCCCTTTAAAATACCAAATCTGAACTCTTAGCCGCACAATTGTATTACATTTATTTACTAGGGTAAGTGTATACAGATATAAATTAATAATTAAATTCGGACAAGTGTTGCTTATTTGTTTGAGAATTATTTTTTACAGCAATTTGATTTTTCAAAAGGTGTAGGTTTTAACAAATTACTTGGCTTTCTTATGAAGTTTTATGGTAGCCATTAACAATAGTTTTACTTCATATCTATCTAAAGTCAAAAAGGTAATTAGAATATAATTGCAAGACTATAAACTAATTATCCATTAAATTTAATAAGCTTACAAGTATTTGAACTGTTTGTATCCTTAGATATACTTTTTTCTCTAAATTCATCAATTATTATAAATTTCCAGACAAAATGCAGACATAAATGCTAATTATCCAAACAAAACTTTATATATAGGAAACAAAACATGCATCTAAACAAATATTCCTTATCCCTAATGCATTCACATCAACCTATGTAGTGCATAATATCAAACGCGGACATGCATATGTGTGGGCTCAGCATGCACGAGAAACTTAGCCTGGCCACATACTTCTCGTAATGCCGTCTTGTGTACGTGGCGGCACTCGTACTTCCTGGATTCCCACCAAGAGCATCATAAATATTCTTCCACAAACGTTTAGCAGTAATCTAGAAATTCCACAACACAATAAAATTGAAAAAAACAACAGCAGTACAACGAAATAAAAAAAAAAACAGAGAGGAAAAAAATTGGATAGATTGGGTAACATTCGAGTCTCAGAGTTAACTTCAATTTTCATCAATAGAAAATGGAATGTTTAATAACAATTTTGACAAAATAAGTTTTTTCATCTTCATTTTGAACGTAAAATTTTTGAATTTTTTCAACCAATTCAATGTTAGGAAATATAAGCTTCAACAAAATCAAAACGAATATTACCCAATCTAAACAAAAAAAACAGGAAAAGAAAATATACAGAAAATCGCTGTGTGCCCGGTTATCAAACCTACTTTTCATAATGCCTCCTCGTGCACGTTGCGGCACTCGTAAATCCTGGATTCCCGCCAAGTTTGTCATATAAATGTTTCCACATGCGTTTCATTGAAATCTGTAAATACACTTGTTTAATGCTTCAAATATTCTAAAACTAGAGGCTAATCCTCCTGTGGAATACCATAAATAGTGTCTTGTGTTTATTTATAAAAACTCAAAACCATTCTATTATGTTAATACAAAAGTCAAAAGATTCTTATACCTCGTGAATTGGTTAAAATGTCTAATCTCTCCTGTGCATACAGACTGTACAACATAACACTTTAATAACTTAATGTATCAGATATATGATGTCTTAATCAACTCAATGCTTCAAACTATGTTTGGTAGATGCATGGTCAAAAGTAATTTACCAAAAACAAGTAATAAACAATTTGCATTGAATCAGTAATTCACTCTATCCATAGTAATCCTTACCACCCTAAATATGATAACAGGACCTGTCCTTTTTTATACGCCTGTTTGAAAAAACCTGACCAGTGGGTGGGCGGTCGGCGTTCAAGTTTTGTCCGGAGCATATCTCTTACATGCAAAGAGGAATTTTAATGAAACTTCATAGAAATGTTCACCACTGTGTCACGCGCATGAACCAGGTCTCTAGGTCAAAGGTCAAGGTCACTGTTCAGACTGGACAAAATCATATATCATTTTAAGAGAACTTCAAAAAATATTAACTGATGGACTAGCAAACAACGTAGACCATGACCAGATGGCAGGTATGTGCCCTGTGACCTTTGTCTGCACTGCTTGCATTGGTAGAAACCAGTTGCCACCAGCAGGCTTTTGGTCTGTACTTTTTTGGTCTCTTGCATAAAATCAATTGCTAAGGGTTAAACATGGACAGAACTTTTAACCGTATATATCAAACATTCAGCTAGGCTTATGTGAAATGGAAAACTAAACAGGAATGAAATATTTTAATAGAGAGTCAGTGGGCCAGAGTTTGGATAAAATCAGTTACCACCAGGTGGCTAAGGGTTAAAGATGAACATAGTTTTTTCACTGTGTATATCAAACATTCAGCTAGGCTTGTATAAAATGGTTAACTCAACACTAATGAAATATTTTAATACAGAGTCAGTGGGTCAGACATTATAGATATAATTTCTGTTTTTTTTGTTGTAAAACAAGTACCTGTTCATATCCACCTATCTCTTCAGCCAAGGTGAAAAACTGGAACAAATCAACTGTAAAAGAAGGTATAATATTTCACTGTGAGTAAGATGTGTAAAATATTCTTCACCAGACTAGCTCGAAAAAAATTGAAGTATGTTATTGCAGGAGCTTTACATCTATCTTCCCTTTTTTTTAGTTTATTGATTTAGCAGGAGAAAAATCACTAATTGGATGGAAATATTCAATTATGTAAAATCTTGATAAAGCTTGTGAGTCACATATAATTTATAATTAAATAAACTCTGTCTTGTTAGTTGTGTTTGATAATTAATTAAATAATTTCTGTTAAAAAATATACAATTAATTTATTGAACTTTTGGAAAATTTTAAGAAAATCTTTATTTAAGTAAAAGTTTGTTTAATCATATCACTGGGTCTGAATACATCTAGAATTTCATATTAATTAATTAAGTTATCAAATAAGAACAATGTATTCTGACAAAATATAAATACATTTTAAGTTTAAGATTCAACATATACTACATTACGATCCAAATTAATCAGAACTTCATAATATAATTACAAAGGCACTTGACAACATAAGCTACAGGTTTCTATTTTAAAATTTCTATATACATCTTAATACAAAAATATTTTAAATTAACCCTTTCCCCAAAGAATATCTTAAATGAACTAGTCCTTCTTTCAATCTGGACAAAACCATTTGTCAATTTTAGGGAAACAGTGCAGACCATGATCAGATGGCGATTATGTTCTGGCTGGTCTTGGTCTGCACTGGTGGCTTAAGTATATGTAATTGTCACCAGAAGGTGTATGTACATTAAGTTGCTGTCAGGAGGTTAAGAATTAAATGGTTAAACAACAGGAAGACATTGCTCATTTGAAACAAATCAACTTACTTTGTTTAAAACCAAGGCTAGGGATCCTTCCTATCGGTGTATTTCTGCTTTTCATATATTTGTGTAACTCTATGAGGAATGCTTGCTCATCCTTGCTAACATTTATTTTGTCGATTCTAAAACCATTCCTCAAAGGTGTTGCTCTTGAACCCGTCTGAATTGAAAAATTTCAACATTTAAATCAAGGTGACTTCCAGTATATTATAATGCTATTCATTACAAATAGCCTCACTATAGTGGTAGATAATTTGATTTTAAAGTTGACACATGAATAGTTTTATAAACAACAAATACAGTAAACTCTACACAAATTGTGAAATGCTAGGTATGAGTTGGTGTGAGAAATCATGACTAAAGATTGTACTCTATATTGTGTTTTAAAAAAAAAAAAATAAATAAATGCTTATTTATAATATTAAATACTGCCCTTATAAAAACTTCTACCTTACTTAAAGTGTAATTGTTATTCTGAGGTGAAATATATGCAAAAGAAAATAATGAAAGTTTTCAATCAATGAGACAGGAAGCATTGACACATGACTCTTACCCTGACTTTATTTGCAGCAGAATCTTGTTGTGCCGAGAAGCTCGATGAGCAGCTACTATCGTCAGATGAATCATTAGAGTCTCGTTTTGATCCTTTACGTTTACGAGGCCGACCTTTCAAGTTTGGCGCTGCAAAAAAAAAAAAAAAAATGATACACACAAATCTTAAAACACTGCCATAAATGTTAAGTGTCAATTTATTTTTTCCATTTAAAATGTTTCTGTTATCATATTCTAATAACATGTCAAGTTTAAAGAAATTCTATTGAACAGTTTTAATTTTGCCTACATGGCTATAATGAAAACTCCGGAAAATGTCTTTAAATTTTACTATGCTTTCACATTAATTCTAGCACAAATTTAATCAAAATGTGCTGTCATAAAAGGAAGAAATAATATGTATCGCTACCTAGATGATCACATCTGAGTTCAAAATCATCAAGATCTGCATGCTCGAATATATCTTTACAGAAGTACACTCGATTGTTGTCTTTAAGCGAGGTGAACCCTCCGAGGGCACACACGAGGGTTTTATACAACCACTTGTCCTCACAATTCTCCAGCCGTTTCAGCATGCAGCGATATCGACAGTATCTTGGGTACGTCATGATAACGACATCTGGTGAACTATCTTCCATCTCTTCATTAATGTCTAAAATACCAGACGAAAAAAATTGTAACAATGTGTTACAAAGGTCTAAATCCGAAAGGTTTTACTGTAAAATTTTGAGTTATACCAATAATATCATGGTGTCTATGCTTAAAGGAACTCCACTGAGGATTTTTGACATGACGGGACTGGAAATAGTTTTTTGAGATTATTACTCTATTTGATGTAGATCTATACTAAAAACTTATGTGCAAAATTTCAGATCATTAGCTCGTTCCGTTTTTCCAAAATAATAATTATAATAGTGAAAAATGACCAAAAAATTGAAAAGCGTTTAAAAGCTTTTCACTCGAATCGGATAGAGAATAGCATAAACATACGATTTTTAATGTATTTCCTGTATGTTTCTTAGTTATATTTCATTTAAATTTCGGTTTTAATAGCTCGTATTGATCTATGTGAAAAATTATAATTTTATGTTTTTAGGCTTATTAACCTCAGTGGAGTTCCTTTGACCTCTTTAGGGTGATTGCAACAATTATTTTCAGCTTATTCTATGTGAACAGTACCAGCCAGACAAACACAGTACTTTATATTGTCACCATGTGCAGTAACTGATTAACCGCTATTAAATTTAGAAGAACTTATTCTATTATTGCACTAAGGTGATGATATGTGCAATCTAACCAGACTTAAAACAAGGTGTCTGCTGCTTGTTTCTGAGATTCTAATAATAAAGTATTATCAAAATCATTGACATTTAATATTGGATGGTTAGAAAGTCGGTTTAATTTCCAACTTTTAAATCAGTCAGCAATTAACAGCTGGTTTAAAGATCATCATCTTAGTCATATGACACAAGAAATGTTACACTTGTAGGACTACTGTCAAACTTCTTACTAGTTTGTAGCTTGATTCAAAGCCAACAAGAAAATTATTCTACAATGCTTATTATGTTTTTGCTTACTAATGACACATGTGGAATATTCTGAACCACCAGTGTTTAAAAGTGCAAAAGAAGATTTGGATAGTCTAAATGATACAATAAAGAAAAAATCCACTCCATAAAACAATGCTCTGTACTGTAAATGTAACAAGGGAGGTAAATCATTATGCACTTATATGGCCAATAAATACTAAAGCTGAGTAGTCTCCCTTTACACACAAAATTGGAAACTTATTCAAATATTGTATTAATTTCCGTACCTAAAATTAGATATCTGTACTTTATTACAATTGTTAACAGATTTAATAACAATCTGTTAATGTACTTGTTTTATCATGCATCATTGGCAAAGCACAATGTCAAAATTTATTCATCAAGAAGTCATTCTACAAAGAGGCATGTTCTCTTTTTCATTTACATAAAGATGGGGTCAAATTTCACATAAACTTTGTTACGCCTGTTATCAGTGTTAAGACAGGCAGCAAAACGAGCTTAAGTTTCAGATAAAAATATGACCTTTAAAATATTTATGTTTGTAAATATGAATAGATAAATCAGAAATAATTATTTAAAAGAATTTACATTTCTTTGTTAGTGTGTGTTTAATTATTTTTAACTTACATACACGATAAAAGAAAAAAAGAATTAATTTGAAAGTACCCCTCTTGCCTTAAAAAATTAACAATATACAAATGTTATATACATAACAAATGTTAAATGCAGTCAATGTGTATAATGAATTTTTCCACATATCAGTTAACGCTGAATTTGTTTGCTTTAATTCGATCATTACAAAATTTCATTTTTCAAAATCACATTTAGTATGAAAGTTGTCATCCCGGATGAAATTTAACCCTTTGTATGACTAAATGACTAACTCAGTTTGAAACTTTAGTTTAGATATCAAATATGCACTTGTGTCTAATATGTATACATAAACACAGTCATGCTGTAACTTTTTTTAGAAATTTATACAATGTCAATGTCTTTATGTTTTAAGTAGATTTAATAAAACGGACACGGAAAAACTGAATGTGGGTCACGACTCATTTACTTCTTTAATCAGTACATTGTTTTCTTCAGTAAAATGTTAATAGCATAGCTTTGTTGACAAAAATTAGACAAGGAAACATTGATGACCTTGAAAAATACAGACATTTATGTCGGCCATTTTCATTTAAAATTTGAATTTAGACGATCACTTTCCGTACATGCGTTAAAAGAAATAAGACAAATATAAATCATTTATTTATAGAATAACGATTATGAACATTTTGTCAACAAATACAATGTTTAAAATTAAACACACATATCAAATGAACGGTGGTGCGGAATAATTAATTACAGTACATTAAAATGTACGTGATGATTTATTAGTTAGTTATTTCGCCCATGAATGTCACTGTTCATAATGTTTATCAAATACGAGCAGACGACTTTTAAACAGCTATAACAAGATCTCTTTATGAAATAAAAAATACAATAAATATATAATTATGAAAACTATATAGGTAAACACTGTACAGTTTAATTATAGCCATTAAAATGATTTTTTTTTTGCAACATGAAGTTTTGAATCAATATTTCATAAATTAAAAACATCTTTACATAAAATATTATGATATACAGGCAAAAAACAACAGCAATGGGAGTGAGTAGCAAATCCTCTAACAATAACAACAACAATCATCATCATCATCACCATCATCATCATAATCATCATCATCATTGTTGTCAATCATCATCACAATCATCATTATTATCAAAAATCATCATCATCACAATCATCATCATCATCACCAACAACATCATCATCTCCGATCATACTCATCATCGTCATCATCATCTCTGATCAACATCATCATCATCACCAATATCATCATCATCATCATCTCCAATCACTATCATCATCATCTCTGATCATCATCATCATCCTTATCATTATCATCATCATCTCCAATCATAATCATCATCATCACAAACATCATCATCGTCATCAATCATCATCACCTATGACCATCATCATTATTATCAAAAATCATCTTCATCATCATAAGCATCACCATCAACATTAATTACAATCAATATCATTATTATCAAAGGCTTTTAAGTTCCAATTTACAATCTGAACAGACATAATTTAATGTAATCATTATTCACAATGCTACTTTAAACTTAAATATGTACATAAAAATTATCTAATAGCTTAACTATCAGCAAACAGAAGGTATATATTAACTGACGTAATGGGCTAGTTAAAATGTTTTACGATATTTAACAGTACTTAATGTTATATTAGCTAACTAGAGCCTTACACTATGGCACATGTGTGCACTTTTCATTTACAGTCCCAAAGATAATTTAGTCTCATTTATGATGTTTAGAAGGAGTTTTATACACTTTGTTAAAATTTGAACAAAAGTATATCAAACAGGAAAACAATTGAGACAAAAAAAACAAAACAATTTCATATTAAGATTAATTGAGATGAAAAAATTGATGTACTTTGACTCCCTCATTCCAAATAAATTAGATAAATGAAGATACAATAAGAGAGAAGAGTATCAAAACACTGTTGACCTTCTTATCAATCAAAAATAGAGTCAAACGTTTTTGTTAACTTTCTATATAAAAATTATGCAAGTCTAAAAATAACCCCTCCCCCACCCTCCTACATCCCAACCCCCAACCCTTTATTTACCCTCCCTATGAACCCGGAACAAAAAGGTAGATACCAAATTAACATTATGTAAACAATTCTGAGATATATTAAATGTTTAAACAGGAATTTAACCTCCTTGAAATTAATACTCTTTTCCTGTCCAACATCTATATACATTTGAAGCTCAGGCTATTCAATTATGCCATTTTTATAACAACTATGTAATAAAAAAACATTGTTTTTTGTTTTTTTTAAATATTTTATTTGTCTTCATTTACATAAAAAAAAACTAACTGTCGAAATTGTCAACACCCCCTAAGTATTTTTTTTTCATTTTAAAATGGGATTTAAACATTTTAACACCTGAACTTACTATAGGCTATAATTATGTTAACTTTCTAGTTTTAAATTGCTCAATAATTAAGCCTTTTTCACATACTTTTATCAGACACAAGGAGGCACCCAGATTAAAATAATCTTTCCCTCGCCCAATATTGTCCATGAGTAGAAAGAAAATCACCCCTTGTACTTAAAACTTCACAGTGTAGCTTTTATCTATTAAGACAAAATTATACACATACATATGTAATAGGTCCATGCATGTTAATATTTCAGTGTATGTGAGACCATACACATATAATATAACATGTGTATAGCCTAAATGTAGTGGCATATTCACTTATATTGTGTATTTATACACAAACATGAACATGTGTAGACTCAGTGTAGTACATATAAACACATGTATGCATATGTGTATTCAAACATCAACCTTTTTTTTTAAAATGAAGAGTCATCAGAATTTTTACATTTTTTTTGCTTAAAAATGCTACCTGAGTAAATAAATAATTTATCAACCTTATACTTGTATATTTTAAGTTGCTAAATAGTTTTTTTTTACTGGGAAAGTATATTCATTTCATTTATTAGCAATGATATAATGATTATGATATAGTAATAATAATAATAATAATAATAATAATAATAATAATAATAATAATAATAATAATAATAATAATAATAATAATAATAATAATAATAATAATAATAATAATAATAATAATAATAAGAAGAAGATTATGAAAGACAAGAAGAAAAATAATTGCTATATATAGATTTTTCCATTTAACATAATTAAATGGATATTGAATGACATATGAAAATAATATAGAAGATATTTTACTGAGCCTAAGGGCAAAAACATGATGAAAATCAATGTTGACAACTACAATTTATATACATAATATTAATAATAAGTATTAAAATTTAGTGTACTGGTATTTGAAATTTGTTGAGACACGTGACTTATATCATTAACTTTCATGCAAATTGCTTGTACAGGTACTTGCAATACTGCATTCTATGTGGGATTTGAACGCATCAGTTCAACCTTTTTAATGGCAGTTCACGTATATTAATGAGAACAACACAAAG